CGGTATTCAATTTTGGTATGCGTATGAACTTCAACTTCCTTTTCTGCTCAAAGTTGAACCAATGAACTCCCAAACGGCCGTAGAGAACCATTTCGGTAGGTGGTTGTTCTTCGTTTTCGCCAAAATAAAATGGTGAGTATCCTTTAAGACGTGGGATACAAACGTCAGGCTTGAAATCGAAACCCTAAACCCAATAAAAAAATAACAAAATTACAATAGAATCTATGGGGGAGCCAAATAAAAATAAAAATATTAGGGGTTACCTGAGTATATGCGATTTGCCTAATGTAATCCATGTCTTCTTCAACCCCTAGTTCTTCATATTGGCAAAAAATACGTTTCTTTTCTTCATTAGGTAGCTTCCGCATGTCCAACAACTGCGGCAGAGATTTCCGGTTGTCGACTTCTTCTTCCTCATTTGTTCCTTGAATCGCTATCTTTTTCCTTTTTCTACTATCGACAGGGGTGATCTGATGATGATACAGCAAGGAGAGTTGGTTTGGGAAATCTAATACCTAAACCTAATCGGATCATCAAATACAAATTACAATCGCCATGGGCCAAAAGTAATACCTCAGATGTGCATCCACCCATCTCTTCATCCAAATCTATTGCCCTCAATATAGATTGGCATTGTTCGTCCGTTAGCTTTCCGCTTTCCAACATCCGCCGCAGAGTATCCGCCATCTTCTTTCTTTCGATCTAGGGATTTCTGTATCTCTCTTTTCTTTTTTGTTCCTATAGGATAAATAGACCAAGTTGTAATGGGCCCAGTGCCGACCCAGATAGCATGTATAGGGCTTCACACATTTTTGGCCCATCTTCTTTTTAAAAAGATTAGAAAGATATCTACGTATACATTTTTACAGGGTTTTTTTGCATTAATTCATTTGGATCCGGGTTTTACCCGGGTTTAATTCTATCCGGATCTTGGATAAGAAATTTTAGGAATATTGTAATAAAAAAAATCGCCATTTATGACTACAATTACTCTTATATTTCGGTTTAATCTTATTTCCTAATCTAATTTTTTCTCATATCTTTAAAAAAATTGTGGTATTGAAATATTATCTTAACATTGTCGATTTTATTATGGAAATTTAACTAATTACTATTAAATATTTTTGTTTCCTTATCTAGAATTTGATTTTGTTATGATATTATACGATATGGATACTATTTATTAATTATAAAACAATTCGTTTTTCCTTAATTATGATGCATAATATTCATACAATCTTATCTATCCAAACTAATTACTACCTTTAAACACAAATTTCATGGCATATTCCTTTACATTAAACGATTACATATATTTTATTCCAATTTTGTTATGATTTCAAAGATACTATGCTTGGTCACCAAGATCTTTGTAACCTAACTTAAACCACTATAAATACTCGAGCTATTGGCTTCTTCTCACATCGTCGAACTCCAAAACAACGTTTTCCTAGCAAAAGAAACTTTCATCTCCCAATGGAAGCTTCATTTGCATTCCTCCAAGGTCTAAACCTATCAAGATATTACGTCATTAGGATGGTTATGAGACAAAGAAATCATTTCGATCTGGTATTGTGGTTGTTGTGTGGGCATTTACAGCTATATGTTTCTTCATAGCATTACCTACACACCCTTGGCTATGGCTCATCTCGATCTTCAAGTAAGTTGCTGCGCAGAGCATTAAATCTATTCTTTTAACTGTAATCTAAACAGTGTTGATGATAATGTTTTATGTGTTCATTGTTATAGCTCAATTCAGGTCGTCATGAGTCATGACAAGCGTCAGAACGGTTTCAAACCTTAATTTTTTTTCATAATTGATTGACTCTGCATTATTCAGATTCATGTGTTTTCTTTTCTTCACAGACAAAGATGAAGTTCACTAGAAAGAGCACAGTCGGATGGAGCATCGGGAATATTCTTCTCGACTTTGCTGGAGGACTTGCTAATAATCTACAAATGGTTATACAATGACGGCAACACAATCGAAAGTTGGGTGAGGATCGTCACCGAGGATGGAGGAGGGCCAAGGAGTGGAGGAGAAGATGTGGTGGAGGAAGTCATCGTGGTCGAATGTTGCTAGATAATGGAGATGTGGAGAAGAAGATGATGGAGTAAAAGAGAGGAGTTCATGGCTTGTGATATTTTTAATATTTTTTGGGGAGTCAGAATGAAAATGAAAATGAATGTTGATCAAATATTTTGAGGTTTAAGGTTTTATCGTGTTTACACTTTTACCAATATTATCATTTTTTCAAATTAATTTTTGGTGTTATTTTCAATTCTTAATTCTTTTAATCACCAAAAGAATCCGAACATTGAAGTCACGATTTCTTCGATTTTGTAATTCTTTATTGATAATATATTTTTCACAATTTTGTAGTAACTACAAAAAGTAAGTAAAACATATAGTTCTATAAATAATATATGAAAGATTTTTTTAGATTGTCAAATTTGTTTCTATATAAAAAGATAATAAATCTACAAATAATCTCGAATATACATCTAGCAAATAGAAACTAATTATTTTTAATCATTTATTGGTAATATTTTCAATATATTAATAGTTATTTCTATATAGAAATATTACAAATATTATTATATATTTAATGCTAACATA